GGTCGTTTTTTTTTGTTCCGGTCTACAATTGGCTTGGGCTGCAAGCAGGCACGTGTATACATCTATTATATATTTGAGTCGAATATTATATAGAAAAAAATGCTGAATTTTTTTTTCATATCCAATGTGATTTTATTGCTCTCGTCATCATTTCTTTCTTTTTGCTATTTTCCATTTAATTTCTTTAGCATGTGTTTTTTTCCGCCCCATTTTTCGCTCTCTCTCTCTCTCTCTCTCTCTCTGCATCTGGCTGTGTCGGTGGTGAATTTTATAACATTTACTTGGATAATTGCATTCAATATGCATTGTATATTCTATGGGAGAAGATGAAGGCGACGACGGAAAAATCATGTTCGCTGGAAACATCATCGTGCCAATAACTTCGGTCGCAATTGTAATCATCATAGCCATTACAACAGTTATCGAAATCAACCGACCATTCGACACGTTTTTGAATGTCGTGCCAATGCTTTGCCCATGTCCTGTGTGTGTGCAGACACATTTCATGCACACATTTCTTCGTCAACATTTTTTTTCCCGCTCCCATTATTGTCATCAATGATTCGTTTTAAGTGTGTTTTTTCTTTCAATCCAGAAGAAATACGAAAATATAGAATAAAAATTGATGAGAAAATCTATAACATTTTATAATCACGAAGGACACGATGATACTGGTGGCAGGAGTCGAGATGAGACAAAAAACAACGCATTGCAATGTGGTTGGTTTGTGGCGCACTTTTTTGTGTCTGTCTATGTGTCTCTCTTTTGCTGGATGGCCTGTGCTTGAAAAAGCCATTGAAGACACACTGACAGACCGACCAAATACAGTGTACGCGCAGAGAAAATGTAATTAATTGTGAATGTGTATGCTTCTGTGCATCGACTCTGTCAGTTTTTCTATTTCTTATTTTATTTCCTTTTTATTCGATATCTGTTTTGCCCTGGACGCGACTACTGTCAATTTGTCAATTTTCAGCATGTTCGAAGGTGAACGGCAGAAAAAGAAATACTTTCCTCTGCTTCCCCATTTCATTGTTGTAACGCGATTTTCCACTCACCATTCGAAACATGGTATTTTTATGCCTGGACGATTTATCACCCATTTTTCTTTTTCAATTTCTATAAAAATAAATACACAAATAAGTGTTGCAAGTCTTGCGGAAACTGATTATTAGGAAATATGATCGAATTGTAGGTGGAGCGCAAAACATGTACTCATTTCATTAACTAAGAAATGGTTGGAGCCGTCTAAAAAGAAAAACACTTATTTGAAAAGAAAAAATGAGAGAGTTTATTTTCGCCCACTACGATGAACACCAATGAAATGCATCGAACGCTTACGACATAAAACATAAAAAATTTGCCCGCTATTTGGTTCGACGACTTATGCAGCAGTTACAAGCGAAATCCCAGCAAAGTGATAATCAACAGTTCTGTTATTATTGAAATGGGTTGGATGAAAGTCTCGCTTTTGGTATTCATAATTGTCACTTAAAAAAAAATGCGAGACACAAGAAATCCCATCGAAGTTTAAAATGCGGAAAGCACAGTCGCTTTTCTTCATATCCATAAAATTTATGTTGTGTTGTGCGGTTATTGTTGTTGCTGCTGTTGCCGCAACAAATCGCAATGGCACATGGATTATTCATTCGATGAAAAATGAACAGAAACAAACGCAGATTTTGTTTTTGTATCCCTGTACTTTAATTGAATTTTAAGGCTGATGTTGAGTTCGGTCACCCAAATAATTTGATATATTTTTATTCTTTTCTTCATTTCACATGGCCACCATTTGCTCCCATTGAGACCAGAAAAGAAAAAAACACAGACCGGGTGAAAAATGCTCTCCGGATTTGGAGCGCTGTTTTAAAAATGTGTTTGACTTTATTTTTTAATGTATTTATCGAAATTATCCATACGGGCAATTCGTGGGGGAAAAAACATTCGTAAATGTTTGAATGTGTTCGTGCATATCGCATAAAGTGATTGGGATGTGTAAATCAACGAATATTTCATTGTCAACTCGTTTTACAAAATTTACATATTTTTTCCCCCCAATTCGGCCATATAGTATGGTACCATTTTATTAGAAAAAATTTCGTTGATTTCTATGCCAAAAAATAGATAATGAAGAGTGAGTTGACGATGAAATTGCCGGATTGCTACTATTTGCATGACATTTTTTGTTCACCGTAGCTATCTAATGTTGAAAATTATATACTATATATAGATAAATGGATTCGATTCTAAATTACGTGCATTCGAATAGAAACAAAAACAAAATCCGGAAGAAAAATATACACAAAATCAAAATATTTTATATCGTTAACGTTAACGAATGGATGCGACTGTAAAATGTAGCACAACGAAATGGCTGACGGCAAAATTTGGTCGTCAACAACGCGCGCGCAAAACGCGGTAATCAAATGGCATGTGTACAAAAAGTTAGTATGCAAACAATATTTAATAACTTAATTACTTGTGCACAGAATTTTCGCGCTGAATAAGTGATACGACATCAATCGCTTCGACATGAATAATTTCATTTTCGCACCAATTTTTCTGGTAATTTTTGATCTGTATTTTGCCGCCAACAGAGAGTGAGCGAAAAAAAGCCATAGCACAGTAGGCGGCATCACTGATAAACACATATATCAATATTGTGTCCGTAAATTTGTATAAATTGCATCAATGACAATCAAATCAGGCTGAAGTGATGCCATCCATGCAATTTAGTAATTTAACGCTTAAGTGTATTAGTTGTTTATTGTGCAGCGAAGTGGATGCATCGCATTTTTATACATAAAATAATGTGGCATGTGTTTTCCACTTCCAGTCAAACGTAATCGTTTAACCATATTTTTTTTTGCGTGTACTATGCCGCTCATCGCATGGCATGATATTTCATTCACTGTCACTTGTCGGATGATGGAAATTCGCTCATCTTCATTTGGTCATGGAGGTTCATGCGAGAGAAATCACGTGTATACAAACCATTTATTATTCGAGGATATTTATTAATTTTCGCATACAATCGGGGTGAGAGTCTCACCGTGAGATCGAAGGGTGGGAGAGAGAGGAAAAGTAAATAAAATCGATTTTCATTTGCATACGTAGAATATATTGACAATTATACATATGGTATTTGGAGGTGTTTTGCCTAAATCACAATGTTGGCTTGCAATATTGAATCGCATTTTGGTTTACGATTATGATGTGCATGTTCATGTGAGTGTGCGGGTTATTACAGCAAAGAAACACGAGACGAGAGATGTTAAATTTTTGATTAGATTAGTTTCCGTTGAGCCGATCGATTATAAAATATGGATTGGTTGATGTGAAAATAAATTCAGGGCACACACAGGACATTCGACACAACGAAGTGCCGAAATGAATTTCTCGGAAATTCAAATCAAGCGCGCGTACGGGGTTTTCGTAAACAAGAATTCGATTTGAACGAAGCGAATCGAAAATATATCGATGATTTATTCATTAAAATCAGTTGTTTGCTAGTAATCAGTCAATAAAATGTGAAAACGACATTCATTAACGGAGTGTAGTCTAGGCTGAATGGCGACGACGATGAAAACAGCAACTACGGCAGCGGTAACGATGGTCGTCGTTGCATCGATAGTTACATCAATATATTTATCCAATTTGTGCATTTCATCAATTGATACGGATGGCGGGCTGATTTTGACGACGAGAACAGAGGAAAAAATATGAGTGCCACACACACAAGAGCATTTCAGTTTTGGCATTTATTCATTCAATCAAAAGTCACTTCGGTGTCACTCATTAATGAGACGATAATTATAATTTTATCACAATTTTCAGCTAATTATTTTATTAAGCTGAGTGATTATAATTAACTTTTGGCTGAAGCTCAATATTTTTGAGCTTTTGTGTGTGTCACCGACATGTGCCACATCGTACACTATCTACAGGGGGTACGCGCATCGTTCGGCTTTTCGACAACGCGGTTTGAGGGTTTCAATAGTGCAAAAAAAACCGGTAATATGCATTGCACAAGTATTAAAATAACATTCTCATCGCATGCATTTCGGTTGTCCTGCATCAAAAATTGTCACGTGTAACATAATGTTAGGCCACACACCGAATGGAAACGCATCCATAAAACCAAAATTCGCTTGAATTGAAAGAGGCACCCAACCGTTTGCACCGCATTCGTTTTTGTTTAGTAAATTTTGTCATTTACTTCCATAGTAATTTTGATTAAATCGGATATGTTTTCGAGGCAACACTCGCAATTTTTAGTTTACGCCGAAAAATGCCATGGAATTCCGAAAATCTGCGTTGTCTTATAATTAATGACTCAAAAATGGCGAGTAATTGGCACATAAACAACACAATCGGATAAGAATGCATGAAGCGGATGCGTACGTTTCATGGAAAACATTTTAGGAGAAAAAAAACACTGGTTGGTGGTAGCTTTATTCACTCCCTCCATCTCTCCTAACCATCAGCCGTTGATTAAATGATGAATTAATTATTTAGTTATGAAATAGATTTGAATGTGTTTAAAGAATTAATTTGTATATTCTTTTAACTTAGCTTAAAAAAACCCATTGCACCGCAGAATGTGTTTTAACGAGCAAGCGATGTGGCGATTTGATTCTCTTTTCTTTAAAGTTCACGCACTTACCTTTGGGAAGGAAGAGAAACAACGAACAACTAAGATCATTCACCAATTATCAAAACAGCTAAAACGATCAATAACACTTTCTCCTTTACGTTCAAAAAACGCACTCACTCATTATCCAATAATCAAATTGAACGATATCAAAACTGAAAGCACAACGTGAAAAACAAAAATCTATGCTACGCGAAGGCGTGCCACAATTTAACGAAAAAAAAGAAGCCATACTACTTGATAATCAATTACAAAATCATACAAACGGTGTAATTCGCGCGCCGCAACAATCGGTTGCAAATAGGCATTTCAAGAAAATTGGCAAGAACGTTTCTCTCTTACTTACCCCGTTATCAGTTGAGTAATTGCTAATGATATCTTCTTCTTGTTTGATTTGAATGGAATCGACGGCGATTGGATCGAAATCATCCGCATCGTATTCGGCCGCACTTTCAAGGAAATCATCTTCGGCTTCGCGCATCGAATTATAGGCTAGTTCATCGGTTGGTGTGTTTTGTGGCGATTCTGATTTTTGGCTTGTGTCATTGGCGGTCATTTTGGCTTGTTTGGCTGGCTGCAGTAATGATTCGTCTTCGATCAAAACCAATGACTCAACGGATGATTCGCGTTTTAATAGCCGATTCACTTTGTTGGATTTTTGCATGTCCGCTAAAACGTCCGCATTTGAGGTGGATGGCTGTGGTTCTTCGTTGCTTGTGTCAATTTGTGCTAGTCCTCGTACATGAAGCGCCTCAGCGACAAGCAACAACGATGTAATCTCCGGTTTGCTTACATTTATTTCACCCTTGTACATAAACTCGAGAATTTTGCGTAAATCCTTTAGCGGAACGTCTTTCATGATGATGACTGGATGTGTACAGGGTGTTGTTGTGAAAATTTCTTGAAAATATGAACTACTTGCCGACAACACCATTTTATGTGCCTTGATTAATTGACCCTCACACGCAAGTGTCACATCCACAAAGCATTCGTCAAGAAATAGCCGCTCAAACACATCCAACATATTCGATTGGAAATTATTCCAACGCAAGCAAAATGCTGCCTGCGATTCCACATTTTGGCTAAGTTTCATGGGTATTTTGTCACTTATATTTGCGGTCACTGACATATCGCTTCTACTTCTTCTCTCTTTTTTTCTTTCTTCTCGCTTGGTTTCGATGCGCCGTGTTTTCCCCTGCACCTTCTCACTCAGCCTTGATCTTTTCGAAATCTGAAACATCAACAAATAATAAAGACAAATGAAGTAGGTAAAATACAAAGTATAAATCTATGCTCTACCAAAAAACTAATTATAATTAGTTTTTTGGTTCTATAATTATAAATCTATTGACTAGATCGAGAGGAGAGTATGTGAAAAAATTCTAATATATTTTGAAAGAGGAGAGTATGTTTTCTAATGATTCTGTTGGCGTTAAAGTAGAGTATGTTGTAGTACCGTCTAGCCTCTGCGGTCTTCACGGTTTTCGCGCAACTGATAGGAGATAACAACATGGTGTCTTCGGCAAAGTTGTAGTACTTGAGGTCTTCTATAACACTGCTGAAAACATCTATCTCTTATCTCTTATCAGTTGCGCGTAAATCGCGCACATAAAAAAGCAAATTTCATATAGAACTTTTTTTTTCTTATCATTTTTCGCGCTTTTCGCGGAACTGATAAGAGATAAGAGATAACTGACTTCAGCAATGTTATAGAAGACCTTGAGTGCTACAACTTTGCCGAAGACACCAAATTGTTATCTCTTATCAGTTCCGCGGAAACCGTGGAAAACCGCGAGGACCCGCCAAAAATGAACATACTCGCCTTTAACCATTTTTGAGTCGAAAGAAACTTACTCTTCTCTTTCATAACAAAGTCAGATGAACTTACTCTCCTCTCGATCTAGTCAATAGAAATCGTGTGAACTTCATTTTCGAAGTATTTTTATTTTCTGAATACAATAACAACAACAAAATTTGATTTCGGAACTACCTTCAAACCGGGGCCTCAAGCAGTTTACAAATGAGTTTTTATAAATTGTTTCGTTAATTAAACTATTTTAATGACACATGCTCATAAGCAACAACGAGATTTGGTATGAGTTTCGGCATTTAGCTCTTGAATTTTACCATTTCATTTTTACCGTCTCTCTCGCTCGCCCTCTCTGTCTCTATATCTCATGTGATATGATTTCATAAGCGCGACCAACGATTATAATAAATTTATTATTCGAAATTGTGTCGGTCGGTCTTTTTGTTTTTGTTTTTCTTTTTTTAATTCTTCACCGTTTTCTCGCTTTGATTCGGCTCCTAATTTGATGCTTGAGCAAAGTCGACTGAGAACCAGAAAATACATGTATGCGACACAGCATTTTGAAAGAAGGATGTTGTCATATGAGCGCGCAACTGTTTTTAAATGCTATTTTAATTAATATCGAACTTTTACATATTTTCAACATAAAACTTATTCGAATCAAGGGAATCAGCAGTAGGTATTAAATGACCCATGGTATTGGTTTAATCTCTGTGTGAATATGGTTTGTTTGTAATGTGCAAATTTACAATATTTGTTGTTATTGATGTGGTTGTTGTGTGTTTCAAGCGTGGAAATCGGAACAAAATTCTGATTAATCATCGATAAAATCGATGAAATTATGAAGATTACGAAATTATTGTGAAAAATTATTAAAATTAAAGCAGGTGTCATTGGTATTAGTTGCGATTGTAAGCATAAGTAATGCCCAATGAAAATCACCGTTATTCGTTAAATTAAGAGTTTCTTCAATTGAAGTCACTGCACCATTTGTGGCTACTGAAATGAAGTCATCCGCCACAGTGTCCTTGGTGTTATACGCGTTGAGGAAGTTTCATAGATTGCCATCTATCAATCTGCATAATCCGACATATCAGAAGCTTATTCAATTAGTCATTTGGCATATGATCATTAATGCGCGTCCACTTTGTTTGCTCATTAACTGCGCTAAATATTCATGGAATTATAGAAATAGTTAAATCTTCTTTTTTCTAATTTTCTTTGGGTGTTTTGATTGTTGTTGTTCGTATGCAATGCACATGCGCACGGCCAATCAATTAAGAAAACTGAAGACTTTATCTCACGCGGTACAACAGCAATTTCCATGCGAGAATATCGATATCGAAGCTGTTTGTAAACACACACATAAAATGCGCGATGCATTTTTACGAAAACAAACCAGAGAAGAAGAAGAAAAAAATGAAATACTGATTCTCATATAATTGGTTTTCGCTTCGACTGTGTATTCGTTCTTTATGGAAATCAGTTATTTATTGAATATTTTAATGAACAATTTAGTAAATATATTTGGTGGACGATGGTGCAATGGTCCGGTTCGGTCTCAATGCTGGTGAAAATGGAATGAACGAGCGTAACACTTGTACAAGAGGATTATGTTTTTATTAATTACGCTCTTTCTTCGTATTTTAAATTCAGTTTCTCTGGTTAATTTGTCGTTTCGTGCTATGGCCACCATTTCGACATTGACAACATTTTATTGAGTCGCGAATAATAGCAATAATCATGATATTGCATACAGTATTCTTTATTTACCCGCTCGCAGCAACACTGTGACACATGATCATGCGAATCGAATGCTTTCTTCATTCCGTATACACACTCAGACTGTATGTGGTAAATAATAATAATATATACACATTCTCATTCTCACATTTTTTCCAATTCTTATATTTAATTACACGGATTTCTTGGTTTTAATTTCGCTTTATTGGCCATGTACGATTGGTTCCCCTAAGCGGTCGGTCAATATGTTTTTGTGCGCATTTGCGGTGAATGTCGAGAGAGAGAGAGAGAGAGAGAGAGAGAGAGAGAGAGAGAGAGAGGAAAAAGTGGAAAAAAGTGAGAAAGATGTAATTTAATAAGCAGCCTTTTTATCGATTTGTCTGGCAAATAAGCGCACATCGATATTGACTTGATGATGCGGCATTTACTTAACACACACGCACAATCGCCCGAAATTATAAATGGAAAGACGAAATAAAAATAATAATGAAAAGAGAGAAAAGGAATTGAAATTCAGCAGAGAGCTCTCAATAAGACGATTTAATCATTATTATGTACGGAATATTGTAAACAGTGGTACAAAGCGGGCAGCACAGAGAGAAACAAATACACTGAAATTGGAAGACCAAGATGCCAATTGTGCATTGCCTCAAATAAAATGCGATTGGTTTGTAATGAATTGAAATTATTTCCTGAGTTCAAAACGGGCAAAGAAAAAAAGACAGACTAAATTTTGAACAACGTGGACGCGCACACATATTAACCAAATTAACAGTCGCAGACGTATATCATACAAAAAGAAAAAAAATCGAAGATGTTAAACAAATCCAAGCCTACTGCATCCATTTCTCTATGCCCACGAAAAAAAGCAAGAAATAACAATTATGTAAATTCATATTTTGTTAATTTATAATCGAATTTTCGCATTTTTTTCCCGAATTAATACTTTTATTTCAGTTGTGCTTTTTATTCGGCATTGGTTGTGCGATTGCATCGGATTTCGTATACCGAAAATTATATGGCATCGCATAATTTTCAATAATCACATGATGCTCATGTTTTACTCGTGGTTTCTTTACCAATATCGACGCTCTCTTTTTTCGCTCTCTCTCTCTCTCTCTCTCTCTCTCTCTCGTTGCTGCTGTTGTTGGCTTACTTTTTGTTTTAATTTCATTTTTGGCAATCGGCATATAAGTTGCATCGTGTGCACCATTAGGCAAATTGTACCACTCGACACTCAATATGATTTGTATTCCCGCGTACGAATGCACCGCTCGTTCTCATGCACACAAAATATATTATTATTAAAAATATGGTTAAATATTTTTTCGGGTTTTCATTCGATGCGTTGAACCAGTTAAATGTTCGTTTACATTAAAGTTTCGGTCGTTGCATACACCGAATTCGTGATTCAATTTCTTATTGACGATTTTATCGATGTAATGACGATTTCAAACGAATATATTCATTGTCGTTGAATGCACCGATTCAATCATTATAAAAAATACCGTTTGCGTCAAGTTATCACCAACAATTATCTACACATCTGAACGACACACGAAAAGTGAACACTTTTAAATAGTGTCCGCAATATGCATTACACCTTTCGACATGATGCCGTTAAACTTTTGCATTTTCGTTGATTTTGTCGCCCGAACGTATTTATTAACGCAAATTCGGCAACGCATCGATTACAATAATACTCGAAATGATACCTTTTTTTGGTTAAGCAATAAATAATTGAATCCATTTCAATGATTCAGAAGGAAAAAAAAGAGAAGAGAAGAAGGTAAAAGTTTAGGTTGATATTTCCCACATCGATGGAACGTGAACAACGGCCATTTATTTTATTTATTAAATTATTCCGCTTTAGTCAACTCAATGAGATTATTTATGAAATTGCTTTTGGTCGAAAACGACGATGGATTTTTTTTTCTTGGAATGAAATCGCCATCATCATTCGTTTCAGTTGCGACATTGTAATTATTTGGCATAAACGAACACAAAAGATTCATTAGAAGCCAATCGATTTATCTTTGGCCATTCATTACATTTTTGTTTCGTGCGTTACATTTGCCCGTTTACTCTAATTAAAATGGAAATGTAAAATGTAAATTGTAAAATCTGATTATTTTTTTTTAATGCGAAACAAAAAATTAATATCGTCATTAAGAATATGCCCTTCATTTTAAATATTAGCGTTGATTGGATGGAAATTAAAATTGAACTTGTTTTTCAACACATACGTTTGTGATGCATTTTAAGCAATTAAATAATACACTTGTTCCATAAATCATCTGATTGATGGCCATGAAGTATCGACAAGCTTTTACATTGAACTCCTCCGAAAAAGGAGTGGAAAGAAAAAACAAATGGCCCCCAAAAAAAATTCATAGGATTCATGCAGCAAAAACAAGTGGTGTGTTCTGGTCTCGCCAGGATTTACAAATAAATTGAAATCGACAAAAATCGCTGGAAATCGCGATGGGGTGAAAGGAGGAGAGACAGAGCACACTGTTTAAATTGATTCACGTTCGGATGCTGGGAAAATGTGTGATTTTGTTTGCATTCAAGTGCATGATGAACAAATATGAAATTGTTGATGGAGCCAATTGGCGTTTAGCATGTTTGCACATCAATATAAAATCGACGGTTTGATAGCGGTATCATTGCATCGA